TTTTCCAAAGTTGAGATCTTTTTCTATTTTCCCTTCCTTCCTCCCCTCACTCATTTCATTTTTGTACACAGTTCCTTTCTTTTCCTCCAGTCAAGGCTTTTTTGGAACTAACTCAGTAGCTTTAAATCAAGGAATTCTTCTAGACACAGCCCCTAGTCTGGCATTCCACAAGTAAGTAGCCATGCTGGTAGATGGCTTCTGTTGTACTTTGTCTTCCCCCATATATATGTCTGTGTCATAATCCCTCTATTTACCACAGTTGCCACTTCTTTCCTCTTTTTCAATCTTTCTGAAAATTTGCTTTTTTATTCTTTTTTTGTTTGATTATATTTTTTTTTAGAGAAGAACTTGCTTCACATGTCAATCCCAGTTCCCTCTCCGTCTCCTTCCCCCGCACACCCACAACATTGCCCCTAACCTCCCACACTATCACCACTTCCTTCCACATAGGAGATATCCAGAGTCTGTCATTTTGCTCAGGGAAGGGTCCAGGCACTCCCCTAAGAGTCCAGGCTGAGAGAAAGCATCCCTCTTTGTATTATAAACACATGAAATCCATTTTTATGCCAGGTATAAATACTGATCTTTCCTGTTTCACAGACTCTCAGTCAGTGGAATTGCAGACTGGCACATGGTGGTGGCTTTTTCATTCTTTAAGAGAATTAGAAGTTCAGTTAACCTCAAATCAATGCTCAAATTCTGGACTGAAACTCTTTTAGGTCATCAATATAGTCATTTACTGGATATTCTGGTGTTGGAGAATGACAAAGGCCATCATTAACCATCCCACAAAACAATTCTTTCATACACACTAGAATTATTTTCTTTCTTTTCTATGTGTTTTTTGGTACTAACTTACTCTAAAATATTTGCAAAACATTTAATTTAAATTTATAGCTTCTATTGGGATTATGAAAATTGATTTGTTAAATGAAAAGTCTCAATTTCTCACTGTGTTTCAATAGAGATATAGAGAGTTATGATGTAGCAGCAGACAACAGAAAAGTGCTTAATATCCCCAAAGGCTTTCTTGCTTTCTAGTTTCAAATCTGAAATACAGACAGGGTCACATTATCCTGAGGGTTTTATTCTCGTCATACTGGTATTACTAAGACTTGTCATTCCCATCATTACTCTCTTTCATGATTTCCTATTTTCCCAGTTGATAGCTTCCCCTGCCAGGACTGAGAGCCGCTGTTAGTCATGATTCTGGCTCCTGAGTTTCTGCACCAGAGAAGAACTTTTTTGTTTATTTGTGACCCTCATAGCACTTCCTTTTTTCTTTCTAGTTTTAAATTTAAATTAAAATAGAAAGGTTGTTTCACATGTCAATCCCAAGTCCCTCTCCCTTTCCCTCCCCTCCTCCCATGCATTTTCACCAACCCCCCCCCAATATCTTCTCATTTTCCCAGGAAGGTTGTGGCCCTCCATGGGGGTGTCCATAGTCTGTTATTTCATCCAGTGCAGGGCCTAGACCCTCCCCCAATAGTTCATGGTGGAAGTGCATCTCTCATTGTGGGATGGGCACCCAAAGTCCATTTGTACACCAGGGATAAATACTGATATACTATCCAAGGCCCCATAGATTACCTGGGCCTTCTTACTGACACCCACATTCAAGAGCTACCCCTTCTTCAAGTCAGAATTTTCTGGGGGTTAAACCAGCCCAGTATAAACCTCTTTGCTCATCAGCTCATCATTCCTCCCTCTCTGTCACTGGGTTCCTTGAGTTCAGTTCAGCATTTAGCTGTGGGAGTATGCCTCTGCTTCCATCAATAATTGGATGCAGGTTCTGTTTCTCAGACTCCAAGGCAGTGGGATTGTAGGCTGGCATTCCCCAGATCTATCCATATATGTGAGACTACATTCCATGTTTGTCTTTTTGTCACTGCGTTACCTCACTCAGGATGGTTTCCTCTAGCGCCATCCATTTTCATGTAAATTTCAGGATTCTGTTGTGTTATTTTTTTGTTGAATAGTTCTCCATTGTATAAATGTGCTATATTTTCTCTATCCACTCATCACTTGTGGGGCATGAAGGTTGTTTCCAGGTTCTGGCTATTACAAATAATGCTGCTTTGAACATAGTGGAACAGACATCCTTGTTGTATGAATGGGCATCTTTTGAATATATGCCTATGAATGGAATTGCTGGGTCTTGTATTAGGCTGATTCCCATTTTTCTGGGGAATATCCATACTGATTGCCAAAGTGGCTGTATGAGTTGGCACTCCCACCAGCAATGGAGGAGTGTTCCTCTTCCTCCACATCCTCACCAGCATAAATTCTCGTTAGTGTTTTTGATTTTAGCCAGTCTGACAGGAGTAAGAAAGAATCTCAGAGTTGTTTTGATTTGCATTTCCCTGATGCCCAGGGATGTTGACCATTTTCTCAAGTGCCTCTCAGCCATTTTAGACTCCTTTATTGAGAATTCTCTATTTAGTTCTGTAGCCCATTTTAAAATGAATCCTTTGGTGTTTTGGAGACTTATTTCTTGAGTTCTTTGTAAATTTTGGAGATCAACCCTTTGTCAGATATGGGGTTAGTGAATATTTTTTCTCATTTTGTGGGCTGCCCTTTGTCTTGTTGAGTTTGTCCTTTGCCTTACAGAAGCTCCTCAGTTTCAGGAGGTCACATGTATTAGTTGTTGACCTCAGTGTCTGTGCTACTGGTGTTATGTTCAGGAATCAGTCTCCTGTACCAATTTGTTCAAGGGTACTACCCACTTTCTCTTCTAAGAAGTTTAGTGTGGCTGGAGTTATGTTGAGGTCTTTGATCCATTGGACTTAAGTTTAGTGCATGGCAAAAGACATGGATCTATCTGCAGTCTGCTACATTCAAGCATCCAGTTATGTCAGCACCATTTGTTGAAGATGCTTTCTATTTTCCATTGTATAATTTTAGCTTCTGTGTCAAAGACCCAGTATTCATACATGTGTGGGTTAATATCATGGCTATCAATTTGATTTGGTGAGGTTGGATAAACTTGATTTTATCAAAGAACCAAGTCTTTGTTGTATTGATTCTTTGTATTGTTTTTCTAGTTTCTACTTTATTTATTTCAGGTCTCAGTTTGATTACTACCTGGTGTCTACTCCTCCTGGGTGAGTTTGCTTCTTTGTGTTCTAGAGCTTTCAGTTGTGCTGCTAATTCTATAGTGTAACCATTCTCTGGTTTCTTCATGTGGGTACTTAGTGCTATGAACTTCCCTCGTCCACTGCTTTCAAAGTGCCCCATAGGTTTGAGTATGTTGTGTCTTCATTCTCATTGAATTCTAGGAAGTCTTTAATTTCTTTTTTATTTCTTCTTTGATGCAGGACTGGTGCAATTGTGCATTATTCAATTTCAATGAGTTTGTAGAGTTTCTTCAATTTGTGTTTTTGTTGAATTATAATTTTAACACATGGTAGTCTGATAAGATACATGGAGTTATTCCAAGTTTTTGTACCTGCTGAGGTTTGATATGTTGCCAAGTATGTGGTCAATTTTTGAGAAGGTTCCATATGGCGCTGAGGAGAAGGTATATTCTTTTTTATTAGGATGGAATGTTTCTGTCTCATATTCCTGTCTAATGGTGAGAGTGCGGTGTTGAAGTCTCCCAACTATAAGTGTGTGGGGCTTTATACATGATTTGAGTTTTAGTAATATCTTTTTTACCAACGTGGATGCCTTTGTATTTAGGGCATAGATGTTCAGAAGTGAAACTTCATCTTGGTGAAATTTTCCTTTGATGAGCATGAAATGACATCCTTCATCTCTTTTGATTGATTTTATTTTGAAGTCTAATTTTTTAGATATTAGTATTACTAACCCTGCTTGTATCTTTGGTCCATTTGATTGGAAAAAAATTTCCGAACCTTTAACTTTGTGGTAAGTCTGTCTTTGAGTCTGAGGTGTGTTTCTTGCATGCAGCAGAAGGATGGGTTCTGTCTTCGAATCCATTCTGTTAGCCTGTGCTTTTTATGGGCGAGTTAAGACCATTAATATGAGGGATATTAATAACCATTGATTGCTCATTCTTCTTTAATTTGGAATGGTTGTTGGTGGTGAAATTATGTGCGGAATTACACCCCCTTTTTCTTTTGACTGTTGGTATGGTGAGGTTATCTAATGCCTAATTTTTTCTGGTTGTACTTAACTTCCTTGGGTTGTTATTTCCTTCCAGAACTTTCTGTAGGCCTGGGTTAGTGCATATGAATTGCTTGAATCTAGTTTTGTCATGGAATATCTTGTTTTCTCCATCTATAGTTGTCTTCTGGTTAGAGGACCATAGTTCCCTTCGGTGGGTGCAAGCAAATCCAATACTCTGGCAGTTCTCCTCTTCCTGATCCTAGTCCTGGTCCTGTGGATTGAGAATAAGACCAGGAATCTGGGGTTTGTAGGTTCCCACCAGGAGGGGAGACTTATTGGCTGTCTCCAGACACTGGAACATGGGCCCAGAAACAAACCCCAAATTGCCTGGTCCCATGGGTGCAGAAGACCAGGAAACGGGGGAGCATAGACTCCCGTCAGGCAGAGAGGCTCAGCGGCAGTCCCCAGGCAGTCCCTAGGCACTGGAAGGCAGGTCCAGATACAGTGCCCGGTTTACCTGGTCCTGTAGATGGAAAAGAAGATCAGGAATCTGGACTGCATAGGCTCCTGCCAGGAGGGGTGGCTCAGTGGTGATCCCCAGGCAGTCCTCAGGAATGAAAAGAACCATCTTAAGATAGGAGAATTTGGGTCTTACATTTCTGTTTCTTTTTGACACAACTCCAGACACTGAGTGCCTGTACTGGGGCTATCAGCTATTCTCATATCAGTACAGGACATGGGTTGTAGATAGCCCAAATAAATACAAATTGGATTTCAATTAAACCTCCGGATATATAGGTTTATTTTCTATCCTCAATCCTCTTTCTCTTCCTTATGAAACAGCTCAGTTATCACTGAAGGGTGGTCCTGGGAATCAAAAAGTACACAGCATGAGCTCATGTCTTTTTATTTTTTATTTTTTGTTCCAGGAACACTATTGGAGATTTCCTAAGCAAGGATTCCAGTGTTTCAACCTGGGACACTCCCATCACAGCACCAAATGGAAACACCTATATAGATTATAGCCATTGTGACATTATGTTCCAAGTCATATTTTTCTTTGCTTCATTGTTATCTTGGGGGGAATGGCAGCAAATGCCATGGTCCTATGGTTTCTGGGCTTCCGCTTGCAAAGGAATGCCTTCTCTGTCTACATCCTCAACTTGGCTGTGGCTGACTTCCTCTTCCTGTGCTTTGAGTTTATACTTTTCCTTCTTTTTATCAGTCACACCTTCTATGCCATTCCCATTCACATCACTTTTTTTTCTGCTGTTGTGTTAAAATTTGCTTACTTTTGTGGGCTGAACATTCTTAGCGCCATTAGCATTGAACGCCGCCTGTCTGTCATGTGGCCCACCTGGTATCGTTGCAAACGCCCAAGGCACACATCAGCTGTCATGTGTGCATTGCTTTGGTCTCTGTCTCTGTTGTTCACTGTCCTGGATGTGACAGCATGTGGTGTACTGTTTAGTAGTTTTGACATGTTTTGGAGTCAGATATTTGATTTCATCATTGTGTCCTGGTCAATATTTTTATTTGTGATTCTCTGTGGGTCCAATCTTACCCTGATGGTCAGGATCCTCTGTGGCTCACATCGGATTCCTGTGACCAGGCTGTATGTGACCCTTGTAATCACTGTGTTGTTCTTCCTGATCTTTGGTCTTCCCTCGGGGATCTACTGGCACCTCTACAGATGGATTGGCGACTTATATTATGTTCAAATTTGCTATGACTCTGTGATAGTATTCCTATCCTGCATTAACAGCAGTGCCAACCCCATAATTTACTTCTTTGTTGGCGCCATCAGACACCGAAGGTTCCAGAGGAAGTCTCTGAAGCTGTTTCTCCAGAGAGCCCTGCAGGACACTCCTGAGGAGGAGGAAGGTGGGGAAAGGGGTTCTTCAGGAGAGCCACAAGAACTGGACACTGTGTAGCACACCAGCTTGGAGACACTGTGATCAAAGAGAAAAACTTTTGAGAGAGAAATTTTCCTTACGTGTGGACTATCTTCTCAATATTTTTTGAGTTTGTCACCCTACCTCAATCAGTTAAAACAATCATTTTTGTGAATGTTGAGTGACACAGAATGTTTTGTGCAAACACTGACTGCAGCATGTCTGGAGCTGTCTTACTCAGGGCTTCATCACCTCCTTTTGATGGTGTTCCTTGTAAGTGCTCTGGGGCCAAGGACTGCTCCTACTCTTCCAAACCCTCCTTCATCAGAAGATTAAAGAAATTACAGAAAAGGGTTGAATGTCTTTAATCACGAAATTTATAATGTTTTAAATGAATTTTATGATTTGCAAAACTTCCTCTTTGAAAAGCATTTTTTTCTTCAGGGTTTCAAGAGTAAAATAGATAGAAATTATAATCCCAATTATTAATAGTTGGAGCTACAGTCTTTCTTATACAAATTGTTTAGTAAATAGATGTACATTCTCAAGAGTTATCTGTGTTAAATCTCTTATCGCCTAGTGGAGTCCTTACTTTGATATTTACTGTGTCTGCCATTTTCTGTATCAAAAGAGTCTGGTCAGGTTTTGTAATGAGATCCATCAACATCCGTGCACATTGGAAGGTAGAGGGAGACTGTCCTCTGTGGTTGCCTTCACAGTACCTTGCTTACATTTCCATAGTCATTTGTCTTCCTCTATTATATTTGCCATGCTTCCCCTCTCTCTGCCTAGTCCCTTAAGACAAATTTCTGATGAGGTTCTTTAGATAAGCTTCCCTTTATACCTTAGCAGTTTCAAATTCACACTATTCCCTGAAGCCCACAGCATTTACTGCTGGAACTACGCTTATTTCAATAATGTGTTCTATAAAATAGCATTTCAACTTTAAAGCTGAAGTGATAGATTCAACTGAAGTAGAATTCAGACAGCATAATATGAGATCAAAGGGAACAAATCAAAAATTTTATTAAGTGTGCAAGGCTACAGGCCGTGGAAGCAATGAAGACACAGAACTATCTCTTGCCTCTGGGCATTGATATTTCCTCTTCAGTCATACCTCTGCCTCTGAGGTCAGTACTGCCCATATTTCTGTTCTGAACTAAAATTTAGAGTACAAATTGGAAGACTGTAACCTGAAGATTTGTTTACACATGGTGAAATGATTGTTACAGTTGAACAAACTAATATATACATCACCTTTGTAAATTTTCAATATTTTTCTTGTGGCAAACCTTCATATTTAGCAAAAATTCTCTATGCAAAAAACTGGTATTTTAGAGATCTCATACCATTTCAATTTCTAGTCCCCACATGGAAAAGCTCTTTTTGAATGATTGGGAGGTGAGAACTCACTGGTGGAGGTATGTCATGAAGGGGATGTACTTTAAGGTTTCAAAAGTCTGTTTTATTCGCAGCCTCTGTCTGTCTCATTCTTGTGAATCAAATGTATGCATCCATCTACTGCTTCTGTGATATGCCTGTGTGTTTGCTGGCCCACCCCCATGGTCTCTGACATGATAGTAATTGACTCATTCCCTCTAGAATTACAAGTCCCCATATTAAATGTTTTCTTTTGAAAGCTGCCTCGTTCACGGTGACTCATCTCAGCAACTGAAAGTAAACTAGGACAGTGATTTCATCTTAAGTTTATGTTACTCAGTATTATTGACCTATGTGTCTACCTATCTCTCCCTTGCCATAAGACTTGTTAACTATTATCATATTGTCATTCTGTGTATACAGACTCTTTAATATACTCTCCACTTACTACTTTTGTGAAATGTTTCTCCTTAAATTCGTCTTATATAGCATAGTATAATGCACATTAAATTACCCATAGTACAGCAAATGACCAGGACTCCTTGCTCTTAACACTTGAGAAATCATATTATGTATGTTTCTGCTGAAGTTTCATCATTAGTTCTTCCAATGTTCCTCTTCTGGCTCACTCCTCTCCCTTGAATACTGTAAATTATTATTCAATAAACGTGTAATACATACCTTTTGTTTAGAATGATATTTATTGTGCATCACTTAATTTTAAAGAATTACTTCATTTTCAAATACGCATCTGGTGACAAAATACTTAGAACTTCCTATCATTTTATATTATTCTTTCATATTTTGAGATTATCATAAATCCCTTCCATTTCCTCTCTCCAAATCCTCCCATATCTCCCTTCTTTCCTTGTTTCACATTAATGGACTTTTTTTTATCAGTAATTGTTGTTACATGCATACATATACATTTATTCCTAAATACAATGTGCCTTGTCTATATGATACTTGTTTTCACAGTTGACAGTTTTGTATTGGATAACCAGCTCGTGTTCTATTTCTAGGGGAAGGTTATTTCTCCCATTCTCATCATTCTTTATTAGCCTGTAGTTTCTTGCATAGGGTCGAGGCCTTGTGGCCTTATTCCCATCTAGGTTGGCATTTGTGTTATTGCTGTCCTTGTTCAGTTCATGTTCAAACAGTCGTGTTGGTAAGACTGTTTGTGTATAGCTTTTGATATAACTGGAGACACAATCTCCTAGCTAATTTCTAGATTCTTCTGCTTTTAAAATTTTTCTGGCCCCTGCCTCACCCGTTCTACAATGATACCAATGCCTTAGGTGCACAAATTCCATTATAGATGTATCTATTAGGACTCCACAATTGCATTTTGACTGGCTGTGGTTTTGTGTATTTGTCTCTGTCTGTTGAAAAGAGAAGTCTCTTTGATGAGGGTTGAGGACTATACTCATCAGTGGGTAAAGATAAAAATGTGGTTTAGTTCTCAGGGAGGAGCTATTCATGTCAGTTCCCCCTCAGGAGCCTCTGTCTTTGTGTCTAACTTTGTGTCCTCAATAATAGGGTCTTATCTTCCATATACGGGGGAAAACCAAGAGATATACCCTGTATGTTTTAGGAGTCTCTTAGGCAACTATGTTGGTCTCTATATTTAGTTTCTGTATGAATATGCATATTTAAGTGCATAGTCACATGTGTAGATTATTATTGAAAACTACACTGCTCTTATGTGTTTGTGACCTTTCACTCATTTATGTTTGTATTTGTGGGTATTGAGCACAGGTCCTCGTGCACAATGAGCTACATTCTCATACTTATTCAGTAGTTTGATCTTTTGCATTTCAAATTTCTTTTCTTTTCTTTGGCTTAATTAAATATTTCTTCATAAATACATTTCATTTTCTGCCCTGGCATGACATTCTTCATAATATTTATTTATGGCTGGCTCAGGGACAGAGACTCTCACATCCAGTTTGATGACTAAAGCTTTACTTCTATATTCCACAGGGTAGCAGTGGAGAATTAACTCATTAGAGTATTTTTATGACCTACACACTTTAACCACAGTATCTATGAGACTATGTTTAAAAAATACAGAAACATACAGAATATAAAACTTTAAAAACTTTAAATATTCATTTATTTACCACCCTAGGAATTACTATGGGAATTTAAGTTAGCAAAACTCAGAAGTAAAGCAATGATTTCACTCAGTGTATTCTGAGTGACTATTTTCCTCATAGTCACATGAAGAGGCACAGCTATTAACAACAGCCTAAGAATTTCATGAAGAAGCAAAGTTACTCTGTTAGCCATGTTTGGGCACCAAGTTTGATAGACTTGATGTAACTGAGCCCTATGATCTCATAGAGAGTTGTAGTATTAGGAGGTGTGGCTTTGTTGGAATAGGTATGGCCTTTTGTGAGGTTGGGTTTGGGGGTCTTACGTATGTCCAAGCCATGCCCAGTGCCTCTGTGCACTACCTGTTGCCTGCAAGCCATGTTGTAACTAGCATCACATCTACCTGCATGATGCCATGCTCCCTGCTATGATGATAATGGATGGAACCTCTGAACTGTCAGAAAACTTCCCCAATATATAGTTTCAATTTTAAGAGTTGTCAAGACCATGGTGTCTCTTCACAGTAACAGAACCTCTAACACAGACAACAAGCGTATGTGTGACTTTTCAGGGAAGTTGTAAATAGAGATCTACTTACCAATGAAACCCATGAAATGAAAACAAATGTTCTCCCAATGTTCATCTTGGTGAACCAAATAGTTTATTGGAGTATCCCACTGGAGTATTAGTGAGAGATTAAGAATTGAGGAGTGTGGATGAAGATTATTTACAGGAACATGGATGACTCGTAGACAGCTGCACTTTAAAAAGGACACCCAACATGGATGATAACTCATGAAAACTGCATTCTTGGAGCTCTCTGCAGGACTTTAAGGCAGTGGGGCATGTTAATTTTGGAGTATTAGCTGAACCAAGGTCATGGAAACTCATGGACACTAGACTTACAACTGTAGAGACTCTATAGGACAAAAGTAGGCACTCCATATGTGGGAGACAGTTGTGATGCTTGGAATAGGTGAGGGCCCACTTTCATTAGGACCATGACATAAACCTGGTACATGAACTAGCTTGTTAGAGCCCATTACCTATGGTGGGATGCCGTGCTCAGTGACAGTATGACCATAATATTATCCCAGTGTATGAGCTATCTTGTTGGGGTCCACTTTCCATAGTGGGATGCCATTCTCAAACTTAAAGCATGGGAGAGGGGCCTGGATCTTCCCAAATGTATTGTGTCACATTATGTTGACTCCTCATGGGAAGAGGAATGAACTCAGGATGGGCTATGGAGAAGGTGAGGGGGTGGGAGGTGGTGAAGGAGGGAGAATTGTGGTTTGGATGTAAAATGAAATTAAAAATTGTTAAAAAATGGAAAAAAATTCAGTGTCTTTTCCTGACAGCCACCACCAGTCACAGCCTTGGGAGCATCCTTATTTCCTCTAGGACGGACGGTTTCAGTTAGAAGGAACTTGATCACACCAGCATCTTTGAGTTTCCTAAAAGCAGAAGTCCATTACTTGAACCTAAAATGGTCATCTGTCTTCTGAGGGGGACAGCCCTATAGAAGAGCTTGTCTTATCTCATGTCCACAAGCACCACAG